TAAACTAACTAACTAACTAACTAACTAACTAACTAACTAACTAACTAACTAACTAACTAACTAACTAACTAACTAAACTAACTAACTAACTAACTAACTAACTAACTAACTAACTAACTAACTAACTAACTAACTAACTAACTAACTAACTAACTAACTAACTAACTAACTAACTAACTAACTAACTAACTAACTAACTAACTAACTAACTAACTAACTAACTAACTAACTAACTAACTAACTAACTAACTAACTAACTAACTAACTAACTAACTAACTAACTAACTAACTAACTAACTACTAACTAACTAACTAACTAACTAACTAACTAACTAACTAACTAACTAACTAACTAACTAACTAACTAACTAACTAACTAACTAACTAACTAACTAACTAACTAACTAACTAACTAACTAACACTAACTAACTAACTAACTAACTAACTAACTAACTAACTAACTAACTAACTAACTAACTAACTAACTAACTAACTAACTAACTAACTAACTAACTAACTAACTAACTAACTAACTAACTAACTAACTAACTAACTAACTAACTAACTAACTAACTAACTAACTAACTAACTAACTAACTAACTAACTAACTAACTAACTAACTAACTAACTAACTAACTAACTAACTAACTAACTAACTAACTAACTAACTAACTAACTAACTAACTAACTAACTAACTAACTACTAACTAACTAACTAACTAACTAACTAACTAACTAACTAACTTACTAACTAACTAACTAACTAACTAACTAACTAACTAACTAAACTAACTAACTAACTAACTAACTAACTAACTAACTAACTAACTAACTAACTAACTAACTAACTAACTAACTAACTAACTAACTAACTAACTAACTAACTAACTAACTAACTAACTAACTAACTAACTAACTAAACTAACTAACTAACTACTAACTAACTAACTAACTAACTAACTAACTAACTAACTAACTAACTAACTAACTAACTAACTAACTAACTAACTAACTAACTAACTAACTAACTACTAACTAACTAACTAACTAACTAACTAACTAACTAACTAACTAACTAACTAACTAACTAACTAACTAACTAACTAACTAACTAAACTAACTAACTAACTAACTAACTAACTAACTAACTAACTAACTAACTAAACTAACTAACTAACTAACTAACTAACTAACTAACTAACTAACTAACTAACTAACTAACTAACTAACTAACTAACTAACTAACTAACTAACTAACTAACTAACTAACTAACTACTAACTAACTAACTAACTAACTAACTAACTAACTAACTAACTAACTAACTAACTAACTAACTAACTAACTAACTAACTAACTAACTAACTAACTAACTAACTAACTAACTAACTAACTAACTAACTAACTAACTAACTAACTAACTAACTACTAACTAACTAACTAACTAACTAACTAACTACTAACTAACTAACTAACTAACTAACTAACTAACTAACTAACTAACTAACTAACTAACTAACTAACTAACTAACTAACTAACTAACTAACTAGCTAACTAACTAACTAACTAACTAACTAAACTAACTAACTAACTAACTAACTAACTAAACTAACTAACTAACTAACTAACTACTAACTAACTAACTAACTAACTAACTAACTAAACTAACTAACTAACTAACTAACTAACTAACTAACTAACTAACTAACTAACTAACTAACTAACTAACTAACTAACTAACTAACTAACTAACTAACTAACTAACTAACTAACTAACTAACTAACTAACTAACTAACTAACTAACTAACTAACTAACTAACTAACTAACTAACTAACTAACTAACTAACTAACTAACTAACTAACTAACTAACTAACTAACTAACTAACTAACTAACTAACTAACTAACTAACTAACTAACTAACTAACTAACTAACTAACTAACTAACTAACTAACTAACTAACTAACTAACTAACTAACTAGCTAACTAACCTTGCCAACTAACTAGCTAACTAACTAACTAACTAACTAACTAACTAACTAACTAACTAACTAACTAACTAACTAGCTAGCTAACTAACTAACTAACTAACTAACTAACTAACTAACTAACTAACTAACTAACTAACTAACTAACTAACTAACTAGCTAGCTAGCTAACTAACTAACTAACTAACTAGCTAACTAACCTTGCCAACTAACTAGCTAGCTAGCTAACTAACTAACTAGCTAACGAACGAACGAACAAACTTTATTTTCAAAGGGTTACAAATTGGGCATTCAGTCCAGTCTGACAGTCGGCCCTTCTAAGTACTCATTTTTCAGAGTACCAATACCTGTTATCAATAATGCATGTTATGGATACAATAAAGAAATATAAATTATAAAATAATGCATAAACACATCATGTGTACACAATCGTACACACTCACACACTTATACATACTCCTACGTTCTCATACATGCGAACTCATATACAGACATACGTGATACATACAAACACGCGTCTACATACATATATAAACATAAAACACATACACATATGTAGACATAAATGCACAAACAGAAAACACACACACATACATTTATGGATATACATGCACACACATTCCATACATGCACCAATGCACACACACATATACAATCACATGTACAGACACCAACATATGCCCACAACCACAAATTTACACTTATATGAATACATACACCCACATACATGCATACATACATTCACACATACATGCATACATACACATACATGCATACATACACACATTTATACATACACTCACATCTTTACACACACACACACATATATATATATATATATATATATATATATATATATATATATATATATATATATATATATATATATATATATAACATATACATAAAACTAACTAGCTATCTAGCTAGCTAGCTAACTAACTAACTAACTAAATAGCTGAAAGAAGTTGAGCTAACTGACTTTCTTCCTTTACTCTCCTTCCATTCACATGTATTGTGTATGCCCACCCATATACAATAAATCAAATGCCACAAGACACTGACTTTGAAAGGAAAAAAGGGGGGGGGGGGCAAATCCCTGAAAACATTGTCACCGTATCTTAACAATAATATTTCTTTAAAAGACATGCTACCAGTGCTGAAAAAAAACCAGTCTTAAAAAAATAAAAACAGCTGTCTGCCAGCGAAAAGACACAGCAACAACAAAGAAAAAATCTGTTTAAAAAAAAATCAACTAAAATCTGTATTCTCTGAGCGAAATTCGGTGACGTGTATATAAATGCATTATGCAAATGCCTGTCTTGATATTTTTCTACCGGAAGGCACTAAGTTATTGGTATTCAAACTTTGTCAGAATGGTAATATAAATTGCCTTGTTTTCTAGTTTGCGTCTGCGATTTGTCTAGATTTACTTGATGTTCTTATGGTCGGTCACTTTTATCAAAGCTATTGGGGCAGCCACCCAACAGAGAGACCATTTCTGTAAAGGGCTTTCTATTATCCGGTATGCAAATTCTCTTTAAGAGTATTTGTTGATACATCTTGTGTGTATATATTATTTTTAATATATTATTATATGTTAGTCTCATTCAGCACATTATTATTACTATTGTTATTATTATTAGTATGATGCTTTTAATATAGCATTTAGTCCATTAGGGCCACTCTACGACCCCCCCCCCCTTTTTTTTCCCACACACACACACACACACACACACACACACACATCTCGTCTCTAACATGTATTGAGCTCCCCGTGTGGGTTCTGGGGCCCCAGTGTGGGAAAACAAGAATAGACCCACTGCCTCCCCAAAGGTGTGTCGTAAGAGTCGATTAATTGTGAGCTTCCTTCGAAGTCGGAGTGCACCGCCTGAGAGACAACGAATCAACATCTGCATGCAAATGAGTGATATCTGTAAGACGGATGCACACCCACCACTCAGGTTCTGGGGGGAAAAAGACTACAAGTCTAGAAGTGGACGAACAACCAGAACTTTCTGCCGGAATTTACAGCCGGTCAACTCGAAGAAGAAGAAGAAGAAGAAGAAGAAGAAGAAGAAGAAGAAGAAGAAGAAGAAGAAGAAGAAGAAGAAGAAGAAGAAGAAGAAGAAGAAGAAGAAGAAGAAGAAGAAGAAGAAGAAGAAGAAGAAGAAGAAGAAGAAGAAGAAGAAGAAGAAGAAGAAGAAAAGAAGAAGAAGAAGAAGAAGAAAGAAGAAGAAGAAGAAGAAGAAAGAAGAAGAAGAAGAAGAAGAAGAAGAAGAAGAAGAAGAAGAAGAAGAAGAAGAAGAAGAAGAAGAAGAAGAAGAAGAAGAAGAAGAAGAAGAAGAAGAAGAAGAAGAAGAAGAAGAAGAGAGGAAGAAAAATAATAATATTTATTGGGCCGAGGAGGAGATGTTCAACATCCTCACCACACCCCAATCCACCCCGCTTTGATGTTTTCTTGCTGACAAAGCCTCAGTCCGCCGAATATTAAAAAGATATGTGTACACTGCATATTTTAAGGATATGTTACAAGAAAGAGCGAACAGGCGAAATAGGTTACATTGATGGAGAAAAGGCAAGCAGAAGACAAAATGATTACTATTTTAATGGCATGGCCATATGAATGAGGTGAGAAAAGAGGATTGACCTGATCTGTGTTTCTGGTGGTGATCATGTGTGCTGCCAAGTAGAAAGGGAAAAAGCGTGGGGAAGGGGGGGGGGTGAGGACGTTAGCAGAATGTAATATGAACTAACTCTTTTTTTGCTGCTGAAGATGGGGACAGAGCGCTTATGGGGGAGTGTCGAGTGCTGTGATGTCGATTCTTGATTTAACAGTCATTGCAATGTGAACTTAAAGAGCTATTTGTTTCATAAATTGTAGAAACTTCTACTGCTCATATTTTGATTATTTCAAACCGGATGTTTAGGTTTCAATTTCCGGTAAAGAGAAATGAACAATCAAAGAAACGGTGGATAAATAAAATAAGAAATCTACAAAGCAAACGATGCCTCTTCCTGCTGCCTTATTAGCTCGCTTAGCAAAGCGAGGAATACTAGAAGATAAGACAGAAACAAAAACCACTTCTAAAACAGGTACATTTGTGCACAACTCTACATTATTCCATGTCATAGCATACTCGAGACAAGGGCGCTTCTTTGAATCGTTCCCCAAAATGGCGGCTGTAATATGATGGCGTTCAAAAAGGAGCTAAATTAACCAATTTATGGCCATAAAATATCCGAATGCGGGGTCAGTTCTATTAAAAATATATGTGCCGGCTCCGAATAACGAAACAAATGCTCTGACAGGGTCTGGGCGATACGTTGCTTGCCGACCTGCTTCTGCGAGTGTGCCTCACCGCCGAGAGTATCCCCCGCGCCGCTACGCGCGGCGCGGATGGGGGCTAAACTAGATGGCTGGGACTCACGAGTGGCAGCTACCGCATCTCCTGCAACTTCCTCCAATTACTGTACTCGTGAGTCCCAGGCACCTAGATACGCTCGGCGATGAGTTTAATCGCGTTTGGCGCATGCCGACAAGTCTGACATCTACCGCTCCAATCGGAAGAACACAGTATTGCTAATCGGCTTTCATCGTCTGTAATGTCTCGAAATTGGTCAACGGTCGCTAATATCGTCTGCTAGTATCGTCGTCTGCAGAAACGCTCGAAATTGTTGTCAACGGTCGGTATTTATCGTCTGCTACTAGTACCGTGTGCAAATGTTGATATTGGTTGTCAAGTAATCCTAGTTTTGCCGCGATTTGTTCGTTGGCAGAAAGTCCGTATTTTAGATATACGCGAACACCGTCGTTCGGATATTTTTGGATATTTTATGGCCAGAATGTGGCATGCCGCCATTTTGGGGAATATATCAAAGAAGCGCCGAGACAAGAACCACGTCGTTACGGTAACTTTAAAAAAAACAAGTAATTTTAAGTTAAAGTAAAAACTGAGGTAGTGGTAAGTATGGATGCTTGTAAAGTTTTATGTATGTATGTAAACGTATATATATATATATATATATATATATATATATATATATATATATATATATATATATATATATATATATATATATATATATATATATATATATATATATATATATATTGGCTCTCCTCCGAATAGCGGTCACAAATGATCTATCTACGCAAAAAGTAAACTTTAACAGAGCCTCACTCATATCTAAAATTTACATTTCTTTTACGGCGAATCAATCGCGTCAAAAGTAGGATTAATTGCGCACGACATTTTTGCGAAACGCAACAGACTTTTTTACGACGATTAAATGGTGGCAAAACTAGGATTAACTACGGACAAAAAATTAGCGACGCGCAAGAATACTCTCGATAGCGCTATCCTACGGCAGGGCCACAGTTATATGTAAGTTGCAGACCACTTTTCGCCGACTATAGTGCCACCTCCGAGAGTATCACCCGTGCCGCTACACGCGGCGCGGAAGGGGCTAAACTAGATGGCTGGGACTCACGAGCAGCAGCTACTGCTTCTCCTGCAGCTTCCTCCATTGTATTTGCTCGTGAGTCCTAGCCATCTAGTTTAGCCCGGGGGATACTCTCGGAGGTGGCACTATAGTCACAGGAAAACAGTCATGAGCTACTTCTTGGGTCGCATTCGCCACGGTCAAGGGGTCGTTGGGACAGTGGAGCGCCATGGTGGCAGCTGCTGGTTTGAAGTTGTCCCGAGGCGACTGCTGGTTTGAAGTTGTCCCGAGGCGACATGCGCGTACATTAAAACGCGCATTATTGATTATGTCTTGCCCGAACGAGAATCGTGGACAAGCGTGGCCTGTTAAAATGGTGGACAGCCAGAAAGAACAGATATTTGGGCACCGTTTGCAACCTCTGTGCCACAGTTTTCACATATAAAGGATTTAACTGTCGGTAATTAGTAGACTTCCCCCTTTTCCTCATACTTTTCGTTCCTTATATTTTCAGAGCTACAACTTTTAAATCTTTGTAGGGTAGGACACAATGAGGCTTTGTTAGGATTTACTTTCTGCGTAGATCATTTGGGACCGTTATTCGGAGGAGAGCCTATATGTGTGTGTGTAGGAGGGTTTTTACTTATTACTGATGTAAGAATCGACATAACACACCTGGCATACCCATGCTTCGTCTCCCGCAGCAAAGACTTTAGGTATAAATAATTAATTAATTACTAACTGTTCCTGTAGCACACTGTATACACACATCATTCTGTTCCTCTCATATGTCCCTTCTTGACGGATCCACATGTCATTCTCCTCCTCTCATACCCCCTCCTTGCTGGATCCACACATCATTCTCTTCCTCTCATTCATACATTCCTCCTTGATGGATCCACACGTTGCTCTCATATGTCCCTCCTTGATGGATCCACATGTCATTCTCTTCCTCTCATACAACCCTCCTTGATGGATCCACATGTCGTTCTCTTCCTCTCATACGTCCCTTCTAGACAGATCCACACATTGCTCTCATATGTCCCTCCTTGGTGGACCCACATCTCGCTCTCTTCCTCTCATACGCCCCTCCTTGATGGACCCACATCTCGTTCTCTTCCTCTCATACGCCCCTCCTTGATGGATCCACATGTCATTCTCTTCGTCTCGTGCATCCCTCCTTGCCGGATTCACACGACATTCTCTTCCTCTCATGCATCCTTCTCTTACCGGATCCATACATCGTCCTCTTCCTCTCATGTGTCTCTCCATGCCAGATCCACACCTAATTCCTCGTTCCAACATTCTTACACATTCACATGTTTTTCCTCTAAGCTCATGTCTTTTGTCAACATTCGTTCGTGTATGGTCTTCAGAAAATCTTCCTTGTCCAGTATGTGTTTCCGTAGCCAGACCGTCCACTCTTTCATTCATACACTTGTACTCTTGCTTTTCCCAGAAAGTATATCTATGTGATTTCCTGCAATGTTGGCATACTGATACTTGGTATCCACTCATGCCAGATAAGTCTGTTTTAAACCTTCCACTGTACCGACTGAGAATCAGATACAATAGTTCCTCTGCTTACTTTATTTTATGCTATCCATATCAGTGCTGCAGTGTGAGTAATTGCTTTCACCTGCCTATGGCAGGGACAAGTTTGACTAGCAAGATCCTCTCGACTTAACTTTCACTTTAAAGCCTAATGCGGCATCCGTGGCTTAGGCGTTGCGAGTCTGACTCGTAATTCCAACGTACTGTGATCGAAACCAACTGCTTGCTGTGTGGATTTTTATCATGGTATGGGGCGCCGCAGGTCGACCCAACCTAGAATGGGTACCAGGATGGCTGTCCTGGGGAAGTAAAGATGGCCGGCGTAAGGCTGACCACATTATCCGTCCAGTGCCGATGGTCTGTAAAAATATTGGTGCTCTTCCCATATACCCGATACGCCTCAAGGCATAAAAAGGAATCTTTACTTTACTTTTACTTATTTTAAGCCTAATATCACTATATGCCAGTATCTTTACCATAGCTGAAAACAATCTGATGACAGGAAAGACTAGTTAAAAATCATAATTAAGCTGGCAGATTAGGGCTTAGCTAGAGACAATTCAAACTGTAAATACTGAAGAAGACATATATTAGTATATTACCAGACCCTTGGTGAAAGCAAAGTATTGCAACTTGCTGTGTATGTCCTGTTTTGTTTTCCTTTGCACATATTTATTTGTTGATTTTTGGTGGGCCACAGAAATGTTTTCAATTATTGTTATTCCTTTGTCGACAGAGGAAGGTGAGGAGCAGTGTAACTTGCTAAGCTTGTCCTGTTTTCAGTTATATGTATTAATTTGTTGACAGCAGAAATAGTGTTTTCGGTTTTTATTAATTCAGTTCATTTGTTGACAGCAGAAATAGTGTTTGCAGTTACGTTTATTTATTTGTTGACAGAAGAAGGTGAGGAACATTGTAACTTGCTAAATATGTCCTGTTTTTGTGTATACATATTTATTGGTTGACTGGGGAAATAGTGTTTTAAATTATATGTATTATTTGTAGACAGCAGAAATAGTGTTTGCAGATACGTTTATTGATTTGTTAACAGCAGAAATAGTTTTTGCAGATACATTTATTGATTTGTTGACAGCAGAAATTGTGTTTGCATTTACGTTTATTGACAGCAGAAATAGTGTTTGCAGTTACGTTTATTGATTTTTTGACAGCAGAAATAGTGTTTGCAGATACGTTTATTGATTTGTTGACAGCAGAAATAGTTTTTGCAGATACGTTTATTGATTTGTTGACAGCAGAAATAGTGTTTGCAGTTACGTTTATTGATTTGTTGACAGAGGAAGGTGAGGAACATTGTAACTTGCTAAATATGTCCTGTGTTTTTGTATATATATTTATTGGTTGACACCGGAAATAGTGTTTGCAGTTATGCGTATTTATTTGTTGACACCAGAAATAGTGTTTGCAGTTATGCATATTCATTTGTTGACAACAGAAATAGTGTTTGCAGTAATGCGTATTCATTTGTTGGCAGCAGAAATAGTGTTTGCAGATACGTTTATTGATTTATTGACAGCAGAAATAGTGCTTGCATTTATGCGTATTCCCTTTGTTGACAGCAGAAATAGTGTTTACAGATACATTTATTGACAGCAGAAATAGTGTTTGCAGTTATGCGTATTCATTTGTTGACAGCAGAAATAGTGTTTACAGATACATTTATTGATTTATTGACAGCAGAAATAGTGTTTGCAGTTATGCGTATTCATTTGTTGACAACAGAAATAGTGTTTGCAGTAATGCGTATTCATTTGTTGACAGCAGAAATAGTGTTTGCAGTAATGGGTATTCATTTGTTGACAGCAGAAATAGTGTTTGCAGATATGCGTATTCATTTGTTGACAGCAGAAATAGTGTTTCCAGCTATGCGTATTCATTTGTTGACAGCAGAAATAGTGTTAGCAGTTGTGCGTATTCATTTGTTGGCAGCAGAAATAGTGTTTGCAGATACGTTTATTGATTTATTAACAGCAGAAATAGTGTTTGCAGTTATGCGTATTCATTTGTTGACAGCAGAAATATTGTTTGCAGTTATGCGTATTTATTTGTTGACAGCAGAAATAGTGTTTGCAGTTATGCGTATTTATTTGTTGACAGCAGAAATAGTGTTTGCAGTTATGCGTATTTATTTGTTGACAGCAGAAATATTGTTTGCAGTTATGCGTATTCATTTGTTGACAGCAGAAATAGTGTTTGCAGTTATGCGTATTTATTTGTTGACAGCAGAAATATTGTTTGCAGTTACATTAATTGATTTGTTGACAGAAGAAGGTGAGAAACGTTGTACTTGCTAAGCGTGTCCTGTTTTTAATTACATGTGTTCATGTATTAACCCTACCGCACCTGAGGCCCTGAACCTAACTGCCCCCTATACTTGAGCTCCTGGGCATTAACGCGAAAAAACCAACATGATATACACAAATATTAGTTACATGCAAACAATTGGCTAGAATAGGATGAAACTTGGAGACATTGTAGAAAATAGGCTTACCTTTTATCTAGTGCCACTATTCCACCTTTGTGTGCCAATCCACTGAGGAGGATAAGCCTTGTTTCACAAAGTGAACACCAGATGTTGCTGTTTGAGGGACATGCCCCCTTCTCCTACTATCGATTTATTTCTAGATTTATCATTTTCAAGATTCTCCTCATTATTCAAACACTCACTGAATGTGTCACTTTAACTGTGAACGTGTTCTTTATGAAATTATGATTCCGCAGAGTCTGAATAAACCAAAGTATCGATCACCTGTTGCACTGTGAAAAGTCTAGACCTGCTTTACTTTTCTGTCGATGTGCTTAGTTTATCAGCCGCTTGTTTCATTGTGAATTTTCAGAATTTTTTTACTTAAAAAACACAAATTTAATCTAAACACATGTGGGCGGACATCTAGAAAGACTATCCACGAAGTCTGATTACGATTGGCTAGTTATTTTTTTATCTGACGCATCTTTTTCACGTACTACCCAAATTGCAGAAAATTAAGGACAGCGGTATAGCGTCAGGTTGAGAAATTCCTGAAAAATCGGGTCAGCGGTATGGTAGGGTTTACAGCAAAAATACTGTTTTTTATTATGTGTATTAATTTTTGACAGCAGAAATAGTGTTAGCAGTTACGTTTATTGATTTGTTGACAGTAGAAATAGTGTTTGCAGTTACGTTTATTGTTTTGTTGACAGAGGAAGGTAATTAACATTGTAACTAGCTAAGCGTGTCCTGTTTTTAATTACATGTATTCATGTGTTAACGGCAAAAATAATATTTCCAGTGATGTGTATTTATTTTTTTGCAGCAGAAATAATGTTTTCAGTTATGTGTATTCATTTGTTGGCAGAGGAAATAATGTTTTCACTAATGTCTGTTCATTTGTTTGTTAGAGGAAATAATGTTTTTTTTTCTTATGTCTATTCATTTGTTGACAGAGAGAGGTTAGGAGGGACATTTTAACCTGCTAAGTATTTTAGTTATTTGTTTTTTGATTATACCTATTCATTTGTTTAGAGAGGAAATAATGTTTTTGATTATACATATTCATTTGTTGATAGAGGAAGTTGAGGAAGTGTTTGCGGAGGACTATGATGACCCATCCAAGCCAGAAGCTGCTCCTCCAACTCAGCCACAACCTGTTATTCTTCCACAACAGCCTATAATTCCACATCTTTCTCAGGATGTGATTGATGTGGTTGGAGATGAGCCTGTTTTCTTTAAGACAACAGCGTGCCCAAACAGGTAAGAGTGATAAAGTGTTATGTATTGTTGTGGTTGGCACCTTTCTGTCTTTCTAGGTGATAGTGCTCCATTGGGATATAGGGAGTCACGTGAATCAAGCTTATGGTGCTGGAAATTTAGGCTAGAGGTGTTATTTCTTCTCTCCATAGCACAAAGCTCGGACAGAATTGTAGAGACTTGTTTGTTGTCCACACAGGAAGATTCAGATACAGAAGTCCGCTGTTCGTGGAGTCACCTTTATTTTTGTTCCGGGACACGCAGGCGTCGATGGAAATGAAAGAGCTGACAGGTTGGCTGGATCCGCTATCACTACCGACGGTCAGCCTATGGATCATGCTGATATTATCAATGCCCTCAGAGAAATGGGAAGAATAGAGGACTTTGGTGGCAGTGAATCCACATCACTCGCCAGAATGGCAGACTTGGGAATTAAGATCGGCACAGCAAAAAACGAGACGCACACCAGCTACGCCAGAAGACTTGTTAATCAACATAGAACTGGTACTATTAGCCATCGGACGTTGGGGTTCATACTGAGGGGAGGATCTGAGCACCTATGGACATGTCCGGAGTGCAATGAGGATAACCCAACTAACTAACTAACTAACAGGAAGATTCCTCCATTTGCCAGGATATTTGGAACATAACAGGCTGCAGAAGCTGTCATGTGTGACGAGCATTGCTGTGCCCGTCAGAGCTTTCCTCCTAGGCCAGATTTGTGTTCACACAAATATAATTATATCCGCCATGTCTACATACTTTTCCGTTTCAAGGGGTACAACCAATACCAAAGCTGTTGTAAAGGTGTATTGGCCAGCGATAAAAAAAAAAACTGTTACAAGTTGGAAAACTTATAAGCTATTGTCATCTGTGGCTTGGGCGTTGCGAACACGCTTTGTAATGCCGAGGTGCCGGGTTTGATCCCAGCTGCGGGTGATTTTTCTTGTGTTGATTTTGACAACTGTGCTGAGCACTGACAGTTCAAAAAGCAGTGGCAAACTACTAAACGTAAAATTTGCCTAGAAAAACCGCAACAGCCAACAAATGCTGAGGTTGGTTATGCAACGTCCTGTAAAGGATACGCAACTATGTATATGTATAATGTTAAAAAAAAATAAATGCATAGTTACTGAACGGAACAAACATACTCACACTTTTAACATTCTGCATCTTTGTAAATGCAGTGAGTGAAATTACTCAAATTTCACACAAGAATACCTTAGGGTTCCACCAATCAATTGACACCGGTTTTTTTTTTTTCATCTGGGCCACAATAGTTTTTAAGCATAGGCCTTTCCTGTTAGTATGGTGTGTGGCCTCCTCTTGCGTGTGTCAGATACTGGCATTTTCTTGCGAATGGATGCAGTCTGATGTGGGCCTGTGGAATGGTTGTCCACTCTTCCTGGAGTGCCTGAAACAGATCACGACCATTGGCTGGAACAATGTTTCGGTGACAAACACGTCTTTGCAGCTTATCCTACAGGTGCTCGGACTCATGTCTGCAGACAGGAATGACCAGGAAAGGGTTTGAATGTTATTGGCAGCCAGGAACTGTGTGGTCAGCTGTGCAGAATTGGGTCTGGCATTGTCCTGTTCAAAAAGATAACTGTTGGCATCCTAAAATGGAAGGGCATGTGGTCGGAGAATTTCATGGACATATCATTGCGCATTCAAGCTTTCTTCAGTGTGCACCAGTTGACTCCATCCATTGTAACTGACTCTTTTCCCATGCCATTACACCTCCACCACGTGCAGCAGAGCTTCATCAACACAATTTACGGTTAAACCTTTATTTTATCTACGGTAGACCCTACGCCGTCTATCATGATGCTGCAACAAAAAAGAAAGATTTGTCACTGAACCAGACACGTCTCCATTGATTGTCACTTGCCTAGGGATGATGTTAATGGACCCAGAGAAGTCGATTTTGGACAGGTCTTCGATGGGGTCGTCGAGCCCAAAGTCCAGCATCATGCAGTCTGTTCCAAACAGTTTGATTAGACACATGACATCCTGGAGGCAATGCCTGTGCAGTTGAGGAAATTGTTGTAAACCTGTCTCTGAGGTGACGAAGCCAAATAAAGCGATTCTCCGCTGCAATGTTGGTCTTCACCTAAACCAGTGGCTTGGAACCGGTGCCAAAAAGTCGACTGATGGTACTCTGATGCACGTTCAGATGCCTGGCAACCTGACTTTGGCTTTCTCCTGACTGCAATCGACCAATAGCAATATTCCTTAAATTTATCAAGAGAGGTGCGATTCGTGACTGCTTGAAAATGAACTGATCGTTTTGGTGTAGCGTTATCCTTTTATAGGGTTTCAATTGCATAGACAGTGAATAGTGTTCACCGTAAATTGTGCTGCTTTCTCATGTGCGCATCGTGAGCTCTGTTGACAAATGTGGTCTTTAACACAATTGATCACTGCGTTGTAAGGTGTCCACTGGACACGGTAAACATTTGAGTCTGCTTTTCACATACCTGGGTACGCTATTTTTTTTACAAACTAATAAAAATGCGCCAACGGATAACTATGTGTTTCTATTTTGTAACAGTATGTACATATATTAGTAAATGAACTTTACATGGATTATACATATAATACAATTGATGCATGTCTATGGCTTGACATTGCAAACGCCTGTGTAATTCAAAGATACCCAACTTAAATCCATCTGTGCCTGGTTTAGCTGCAAGCCACTTTTGTGTTCATTTCAACGATAGCATCTACAGCTGACCCTTCAGGATACAATATCAAACTACCAAAGGTAAAATTACCTTGTAAAACACAACAGATTGGTTTTGCAGCATCATATAAAGCAGTGATCTCTAACCCGAGAGGACGGGGTTCAAGCAATTTTAAAAAGGTGTGCATTTGTACTTATAATAATCCGGTATAATTTCATTTTGTTTTTAGTGTAAAATGAAAACAGATCGACAAGGACATTTTTGTTTTCATGAGCAGTATTTACATTTTCCGGGAAAAATTAATTAATATGATAATGCATGCCTTTAATTATAGATTAAGAGCACATTCTGGCCTAAAGGTATCTCCAAACTTGTTGCTTCCCTTACTATGGAATCTATTATCCCCCTCTTTTTAATTAAAAAAATGTTTCTATGTTGGGGGGGGGGGGATGGGGGTCTTGTCATACACTAAAGAAAGTGTGGGGGATCTTGCAACACACTCAAGAGCACATGGGCATCTTGCAATGCACTCAAGAGCGTGTGTGGGTCTTGCATTATCCTTAACGGGTGCTGCGACCTGAAAAAGAATGGAGACCACTGCTGCAAAGGATACACAAATAACTGTTCACAATTGCCTTGTGAAAGATGAGAGGTTGGAAAGGCCAAATTTCACACAGATGTGTGATTATGATGTTGACACCACGTCAGCTCTAGATTATTTATGTTTTAAAGTTTATAAATCACTGCTGACATTTTATTGTCACCTCGTCTGTGTTGTAGATCTTTTGTTTGATGTCTAAATTCAACAATGTACGTTACTTCCTCCAGGAGTAATCCCTATCATGAATGTTCGGCCTACTGCAAGAAACGATATGGCATGCGAGATTGGGACCCAGATGATGATATGATGAAAAGGCGGGACAGAATGTTACGGAAATATCCTCTCCCCGAAGGATGGGTTGAGGTTGGAGATTTTGACACGTAAGCACTGCTTAATTTTTCTTTTTTAAATGCTAGTTAGTGGAAGAAACATTTAATGTGTAAAATCTGTGTTATTTTGTCACGATTGATGTCGCCGCACATTGAGAATTTCTATGCATGCTCAATTCTCTGATGTAGCAGCCAAACTACCTTTACTCATTGTTCCCATGAAAAAGTGGTCCTCTCTTGACTTTGAAGATAGCATAGACATGCTTCACCAAGTTTTACCCTTTGCAGTCTTAGCATCAGAAATTCGTCATTATCCATCCATCATTATCCTAGCTTTTTAGTGGCATGTATACTAAATTATGTAATATTTCTAATTAAATTACAGAGGCCGTTACTATTACTGGAACGTTCATACAGACGAAGTGTCATGGCTGTCACCATCACATCCAAGAGCTCAGGTGTCCCGCTCTGCTGAAGTTTTAGGTGAGTCACATTAGAGCTCACTGTCAGCCTTTTTGTGAGTGCTTCTTTTGCCTTTCTAGCTCCCAGTGGAGTATAGGCCATACAGCCAGACTGGTACTACCAGAGTATGAACTGTTCGCTGGCTGATGAAGATTGAGCACTTATTGGAATGTCCCAAATGCAGTCTTTGAAACTCAACATGAGCGTTGCAGTGTTACTGTTCACTGCTTACCTTATTGGTCCGTAAAATACACAGGTTATCTGTTATGTTGCTGATAATTAATGATTTTTATTGTTTGTTATTTTGGTATATGTCAGGTACTTTGTAAGAGCCAGTGTCCTGTTTCCTAAATGTATCATACTAAAAAACAGGATAAGACCAAAACTAAAAATCTGAGAATAAAAAAGCTTTGGTTGTGCTGAAATGTGAAGCTGCAATAGTTGTTTTATATTTCAGAGAAATAGTTCGAACGAATGGGATTTGTTTTGTGATTTAAACAGAGTGGTTCAAAAGGGTATCTCCTATAGGGGATTCCACCTCGATGATGTAACATCAGAGGAGTTTGTAATCAACAGGGGAGTGAAGCAGAGATGTGTACTTGCTCCTACCCTCTTTAGAATTTACTTCTCACTTGCCCGGCTTTCTAACGTAGTTGGCTAAACCGAATTGAGCAGTGACCGGGTGATGAACTCCATGTGGTCCGGGTTCACTCCCGGGGGTTGGCAGTAAAGCCATATTTCTCCCAGATTTGCGGTATTTACAATGGAATCAAAGCTGAAAGGTTGCGATATCGATAATACTGAGCCTAAAGGTTAACAACTCATGGCTTCTGGATACTAAAACAAACTAACTTCTCACTTCTTTTGAAACATGCCTTTTGTGATCAGTGGGGTGGTATATTTGTCCATTCTCGATCAGATGGCAGTGCTTGAAGGCTGAAGGAGAAAACCAGGATAAGAAAGGTAGTTATCTTATCACAGAGCTGCTGTTTGCAGATGATGCAGCGACTACCACCCACTCAAAGAAGGAGCTGCAGTATTTACAATGCATTTGTTTATGCATGCTGTGAATTTGTACTAATATTCAGCAAAAAGAAGACAAAGGTTATGGTGCAAAATATTACTGATAGACCTGTCGTCTACATTGATGGTGGAGAGCTGTAAACAGCTGACCATTTTACCTATCCTTTATCCACAGTGAATAACAAACTATCCCTGGACCAGGAAATCAAAATCAGGATAGATAAGGCAGCAACAGCAATGAGGAGATTAATTTTTTTTAAAGAGTTTGGGACAACAGAAGGCTCACAATTAAAATGAAAACTCTTGTCTGTTAGGCTTGTGTTCTTAGCACTCTGTGTATAACACACACACATCGTGATTGTAACTGACTCAGAAAGCGTGCTGAGGAAGATCAGGACAGGCATGCTTCGTGTAGAGTGGCATGCTTCGCTGGGGAGGACACGGGTGAGGAGTATTGTCTGGATTTGTTCATCTGGTTACTCCGGTGTCTTGGAAAATGAACAGGCGGACAAACTGGCTGGCTCTGCACATCTTTGTGGAATACTGATTCATAATAAGGCAGACGTGGTTAGTAGGTGGGACATCTAAGCTTTCTGGAACCTGAGAAACCTTGGGCTGACATGCCAGTTTATGGCACACATTGCATTAAGCTGATGACCGCAAATTGCTGAAGAAAAGATGAACAGAATATGATTTGGTTTAACCTGTGAAATTTCCTAACATATTTTTTCATTTCTGCCAGGCATTGTTGGTAAAATAGGAAACCTAGATAGTGATGGGGAAGAGAAAATGGAAACCATGGAGACGGTCGCCAGCAGTGAGGAGGCAAGCAATGTTTGTTTTATTTATGCTTTGTAACTTCGAGGCGCCCGTAGATTAGGCGTTGCCAGTCCGACTCGTAACCCAGCATACCGCGATCGAAACCCACAGCTGGCTGCGTGGATTTTTATCATGGTACGGGGCGTCGCAGGTCGACCCAGCCTAAAATGGGTACCAGGATGGGCTGTCCTGGGAAAGTAAAGGCAGCCGGCGTAATGCTGACCACATTACCCACCGAGTGCTGATGGTCTGTAAAAATATGGGCGCTCTTCCCATATGCCCGATACACCAAAAGGCGTGGAAAGGGATCTTTACTTTCCTACTTTTTACTTTGTAACTTCTCTGTTGAAGACTGCATTTTCCTCTTCACTGCTCTAGATATTTTTGTCTTCTGCAGATAGTGCATGCTTTATGGCATTGGTGATTTTGTCTGTCCACCGCCTTTTCCATCATGTGTTGTCAGGATTTTATTAAACAGATTTCCATTCACACAAGCTGTCTAGCATCTGCCTTCTGTCTCCCTTTGCCCCTCTTTCCCTCCAGCTATCCTGCTTTCATGAAGTACTCATGTTTTTGCTGCTCAGAATGTGCTTCAAGATTATGGATTGTTCTCTTTTGATGCAGGTGAAATGTTCAACATGAAGGCCATGTTTACTTTCCAGGACAATCTTTGGCTGGGTTAAACTGGCGACCCAAGCCAGCTAAAAGAAGAAAAAACTGTCACAATGTTCATTCAGACCAAATATTCTCAACTGTTTTAGTACCAGAGCTGCTCACCATGTGTTCGTCCAATTCTCTGTAGATGCTTTAATTTCTTTCACTGCTTATGCCCCAACCAGTTGTTAAACTAACTCGGTATGCACCTAGGCTACTTTAACCCTTTATGACACATGTGAGGTGTCATTATAGTGTGTAAATGATGGGGACAAGTTCCCATTTGTGTACCTCGTATAATGTTGGCATTATGTCAGAACTGCCCAAGTGCACTTCTAATGATTTTCACAGTTGTTATTTGTCATTAGTCGACTAAATGGGGGCATCCTTTAAAGTCGCAGTACATCTGCAAGAAATCAAGAATCTTCATACAAATCAGCCAGATCTGTTAAACAGATGTGCACGCAGCGCTCAGGCTCTGGAACAAGACTAAAGTCTGAAGGTAGATGAACACCCAGAACTTTCTGGCAGAGTTTACTGCCAGTTAAAGTGAAGAAGAAGAAGATGTCAAAGGCACACATGTGAATTTCTTTTCTGAATAGGTCAAATTGAAGTATTACTTTTCATGCGATTACTCCAGATTCATTTTGCTAAGTCTTGATTCATACCTGATTGTCTTGAAACAAAGATTAAAACTGAGATGAATTTGGTGCGGTGCCAGCCATTATATTGTTTCCTTGATCCCTCTTTTAACTGTTTGACCTCTGTGTTGAATGGCAGATTCTGCAAACTGGCAAAGAAGAATCTTGTGTAAAATCCTGCATACGCTATGTAATAAGAGCTGTTTTAGCGATTATCGCTAAAGTTCATTTTCAGGGCTGATATTTATCATTTTAGTTTGTCCAAGGCTTGAGTATAATTTTATGCTGCAAACATGTAGCCATCTCTTTTTCTTCCTGTGCAGAAAGTTCTGGTTTTAGTTGCCTTATACAACAAGTTTGTTGTGGGATATTTGGGTTTTTTTTCCCCCTCCCCCTCCTTCCCCAAAGTGTGGCAAGGGAAATCATAATTTTCTTAGGCCACGGATTTAGCACTTAGATAACTCTGGCATAGTGTTGATTGATGAATCTAATATTGTTTTCACCTTTTTAGAGTGGCAGTGACACCTCCCTGTCAGACGAAGAAGAGGAAGAGTTTGTTGAAAGAAAACCAAAGAGAGGCAGAGGAAGACCAGGTGAGCATTTTTGATCAAAGTATCATCTTATCCCACTTTTGCTGTTGGGGGGGGGGGGGGATGAGTGGGGTGGGCACTAGTTAGTCCCCCAGCACTGGATATTATTGTTCCTTGTTAATTTAAAATGTGTATCCCTTGCGGTCGTTGTCAGAGCTTCAGAGTTTGTGCTTTGTGCGACTCTTTCTGAAAATGGGTTCTGAGGAAAGATAGCCATAAAGGATTAAACCTAATGAAGTCTGTCCTCTCGCCTTTGAAATGTATATAATGTCTTCAATCCATTTTGACCAAAGTATGGCCATAAAGACCGGAATCTTTAGGTTCATGTGTTCTTCACTGTACTAAAATTGATAAATTAATCGTTTGTTTGTATGTGTATGTATGTAAAGTGATATTGAGGTAAGTGCCGTAAGCTGCAAAACAGTTTCTCAGGGTAGAGATGTGGTTTCTGGGAGGAATGCAAAGAATATTATGGAAGGAAAGAAAAACAAACACAGCAGTCCTGCAGTGACTCTCTGTTGTCTTCTCTCTGGCTCTAGTCACTGCAGATTCCTATTTCACACACCGACATAACACGACGAGCAGAAAATGGACGACTGGAAAACAACACGAGACTGTTTCTGCACTTTATTCTTCCACTCGTGGCTTCCTCAGCCGGCACATGAAATAGACTAATGTTCAGGCATACATTGTAACTCAAATAATCATAAGTATCATTTTTACCTTTTAGCCGAAATCACAATCGTCCTACCACAAGCACACTGAACAAAAACAACAGCTGTTCTGGCGCTGACTAACGCAGCCGGCAGACATCTTGTTGTCTGCCCGAGCCGATGGCCAAAATGAGCTTTGAAACTACTTTCACTCTCAAACACTGTTGGATCCACACACACCTTCCACCGTTGTCCACGCACTCCGTTCCTTGGCCCAAACGAGACTGACTACCAGCCCTTTCTAAGGCATTATATAACCTTCTAATGCCCTCCTCGTTCTTCCGAATTCGTGTTCTCCAATTTACACGAATTCCATTTGGCCAGCAGTTTCTATGTGATCCCCATGAATAATTATAATTGACATGAAGTTCGTCTGTCAGCATTTCTCTACAATTCACGTGTTGTCCCAGTTATACTCAAAATATTCCACTCACATTTATTAACTGACGTCATTCCGTCTGGGACATAATTTATCTAGGAGAAAATGAGGATTACAAGTCGTCATTAAGACAGGAAACTCATAAACTTATTTGAAAAATTGGACATAGACAATGTGTTTGGATATGTTGAGGAGGATTGGACTCAAGAACTTGGTAACAGCTGGCTAGATTGATGAAAAGAGAGCAAGAAGGCAAAGACATCAAATACTTGGATGACCTGGCCAGATGGATGGGGGGAGTTAAAAACATTGAACTGATCTGTGATTCTGGTGATCGTGTGAGATGGTGAAACATGACAACCTATGCTTACTGGCATGGCATTTATAGACATTGTGCCTTCTGTAGAATTTATCACATGCCCAACTGGAGTGTTTTGGGAGGGAGTACTGAGGTAGTCACAACAACCGTTGGCAGTCATATGCCGACAGAAGGGACAAATGACTTTTAAAGACTGCTGTAATGTTTTTGTTTTTGCGTTTACTGGCTGAAAACTTAAGCGGAAAATTCTGGTTGTTTGTCCACTGCTGGACTTGAGTCTTGTTCCAGAGTTTTGCATGCCTGTCATTTTACAGATCTGGCTTTTTGGTATGCAGATTATTGGTTCCTTACCTTTCAGGTAGATGCACTCCGACTTTGAAGGAAATACCTCTAGTTAATGCTCTCTTTCTCTCTCTCTCTCTCTCTCTCTCTCTCTCTCTCTCTCTCTCTCTCTCTCTCTCTCTCTCTCTCTCTCTCTCTCTCTCTCTCTCTCTATTTCTACTCTCTTTGTGTGTTTTCACCAGATGAAGGAACCTTTCTAATGCTTCATTACATTTTGAGATAAGTTCTGTAGTGAGCATCTGATGACATGTGAAATTCATTATGCTGTATATATTTTGTACCCTCGTGTAAATTTACGGGAAAATAAACAATAGTAAAGTATCCTTTGTACAGCATGGTTGCATCTGGCTTATTGTGTTTATCCCATATTTTCTTCTTTTTCATGTTCACCAGCTTTAAACTTCAGCGGAAAGTTGTGGCTGTTCGTCCACTTTTGGACTCAGTCCTGTTCCAGAAACTGTGTTGTGTGCACATCTGTTCCACAGGTCTGACTCATTTGCATGCAGACTGTTGGTTCTTTGCCTCTAAGGCATATATGCTCTGACTCCGAAGGAAGCTCCTATTAAGTCGGCTCTTACGACATGCTTTTGGGCAGGCAGTGGGTCTGTTCATGTTTTGCCCCACAACGGGGCCCCAGAACCCACACGAGAAATCCCATATTTTGAAAGACATGACAGTGGAGAATTAGGTCAGCATCATGCTATCAGTGACGTTAATAATGGTCATCCCGTAAACTCGCTGTTATCTCTTGGCCTGGCCTAGAATATTGTATATGTCTATAAATTTATTAGTGTTTGTGTCAGCTTACTAAACATTTATGTGGTTATCCATACATCATCATCAATCAGCAAGTCCTTTATAGAATGTCGCTCTCTTCACGGCACACCTGAGAATATCACTTTCCCTAGTCGGCTCCCCGGCCCAATGTGCTTTCAATGCCAATGCATCTTCAATGTCTTGTATCTATCTTCGCGGTGGTCGACCCATGCCTTGCCTTCCACAAACTGCACCTTCCATCACTGTCTTATCCTAGCCACCATGACGCTTATCCATACATATGTGCACAAATTAAGCAGTTTATTTGCATGGCACAATCTTTAAAAACCAAAAAATACCTGGATAAATCCTTGACAAAATTTGGTGAAATTGGCTGCAAACCCTGATATTTTCTCCCCATGACATTTCCTGGTACATTTTTAGACTGGATTGACCTGGTAGCCAAGGTCTCTTTTTTTCTCTCTCTCTCTTTTTCCCCCAAATAAATCAGTGAAAACCAAGGATTTTGGACCTGTGAGTGAGCGTACACACACACACACAAAAATAACCATATGTCACAGAGGTTTTGAAACTGTTGCCAGTAGTTCAGCCTGTATTTTAGTCTGCTTGCTTTTTCAGGCTATGTCAAGAAAGATGCCCTTGATCCAATGGACCCAGCAGCATACTCGGACATACCTAGGTAAAATACAGTTTGTCACAAACTTTTCCTAAGCTCTGTCATTGGCGCGTTACATTCTCACACAATCTTGCCTACACATTATACAATATTATGTTACATAATTTTCTGTCTTACATTCTATCAAATTGTATCCTCTTCCTTCTTCTTATGACGGCTCTCTGATTTACACAGACATACGAGTTCTTATGGTAACATAGACTGTTTTAAGGAGTTCCATACACCTTTGAGTGTGGTGTTGCGTCATTGAGTCAGTATTCCCTTCTTAATGGGCTGTACAGTGCTGACCACTTCAGATGATCTCAGATGTTGCAAATTTCTGTTGGAAAGAACGGTTTGTTTAACCGCAGCAATGTTTCTTGCTTGAATTCTTATCTGAACAAGAGGATTTTCTGATAAGGAGACCCCTTTCTTGTGTATCAGGTCTGCTTTGTATAAGGAACATTCTTGCAGGAGATGTTCTGTCATCTTGATACTCAGGCTGCAGATGCCTCCAACCATCTCCACCCAAGTAGGTTACTTCGTAAACATTTTGTGGTAGCCCAGTGTAAATGTGCTAGGTGGTGATACAGTTGAACACACCCCTCCTCCTCACTCGCTCAGCAGACAAATCTTGGTCTCGCAAAACCTGCATCAGCTCAGAGCACAGACAACGGTGTCAGGTACACAAAAGGAGAACAAAACTCAGGCCTTACCAAATACCACAATGAATAAGAATGACTTCAGGTCAGCAAGTAAACACGGACTTGATATAACCGTAGCTTAATTAATGAGCAGGTTGAATTAATCACAAAGTTTGTTATTCCCCCCCCCCCCCCCCAATCCCCCACCAAAATCGATTGATTACTGTTGAACAGGTTTTCCAGGATTTGTCTCTGTTTGATTCTCATCGCAAAGATGTGGTTTTTATAAGCGTATGATAAGAATAGTCTTGGCAGATAAAAAGAGAATGAAGGTGTCGCAAAAGAAACTTACAAAGAGAACTGATTGCCTACATAGAAAAAGACAGTCTACATTCTGTGATCATGTGATGAGGAGGAGAAAACTAGAGTACATCCTGATGGTAGGAAAGTTGGAATGAAGAAGAGGCAGAGGGAGACCAAGAGAAAAGTTGCTGGACAGTATGACATCATGGTATTGAGGATCATCTGCGTCAGAGTTGACTGAAAGTACACGAGACAGAAGGTTGTGGAAAGACATGACTACCAATGGCACACAGCATGGACTTCAAGAAGAAGGAGATTCTCACCCATGAAATTTTACTCCCACAGAAAACAGTCCTAGAAGGGGGTGGGGGGGGGGGGGGGGGGGGGAGAACTAAACCCAAAAAAATTAAGGAAAATAAAACACAGACACCTCCCTTCTGTCTTAACCTCTCCTGACAGATAGTAAATACAGACAGTGGAGTCATTTTTTGTTGACATTCTTTAACCCAGTAAGCAGCAGTAGGAATTATAATAACATTACCAGCACTGAACAAATTTATGACCTCTGCTTTTTATAGCGGTGCATACAGTTTACAATTGTTTTGTCTTTTGTTTACTAGAAGATGGTCAGCCGAACATTTTCAGTATCAACCTGTAATTACTTTAACTTTTTCTTTCTTGAGGATATCTAATTTAAAATAATCATTGCTTGAGCCCAGTGCTGTTATAGTACTGGCACTGGGGGTGAAATGACCTAATTTGAGAATTTGGAAATCTTCTTCTTCGAACCTTCTGTCAGAAAACTTATATCAGGAGACCAGTAGCCCTTATGAAAGCTATCATGCGGTCCATATCTTCTCGTGGACCATACAGCTTTGTCTTTAGTGTGGTGGCAGTTGCAGCATTCAATTAACACATGCTCAGCATTTTGTGGTGCCACACTGCAGGGACACGTCTCTATGTTTCCTACACCGATAAGTTTGAACATATGTTGGTGAAGTTTTTTGTGCCCTAACCTTAATCTGAATATAGCTCATTGGCCCCCACTAGAGAGGCCGATGAAGCAAGTCTTAAGAAGAAAGTTTAGTGTTTGTATCCATTTTTGTGTGTGTGTGTGACTAGATTGTATTCATGGCTTAATCTCTTGGTGGGTTAAGTCACTATTTGATTGTACCATGTCACTGCCACTTCTGGCTGGTCAATCTGTCTACTATTTCATTGCCCTCCAAGCCACAGTGACCTGGAATCCACTGCAGTACAGTTTGAAAATAACAAGGTAATAAAACTAGTTATCTGCCATCCAGCAGAGTCAGAAAGGTATGCTTTTTGTCTTTGCATTACCATTGTACAAATTGTGAGGTGAACTGTAAAAAAAAAAAATAATATTTTTGTATTGATGTTTCAGGGGAGGATGGAGTGAGGGGCTGGATCAGAGAGGAAAGGCTAAAACTGGTGTGGACACAACAGCATCAGGGCCTTTATTTCAGCAACGGCCATATCCCAGCCCTGGCGAAATCCTTCGTGCCAACCAGGGCCTGAAGAAAAAGAAATAATCTGTTAGTTATTAAGCTGGGTAGTTTGTACAGACATGTGTTTGTGAGATTAGCGACTGCTGAATGAATGAATGAATCAGGAGTTGACATCAATGCACTCTGGGCATTCCACCCGTGCTTCAACTTCTTCTTCAGTAACCAATGAAGAGTTTATATGTTAATAGTACCAGTTGCAACCTGATTAAAAGTCTGCCTCTGTTTCACCTTTCAATGTTAAATATCTTTCAGAACTTTTATTCAATTCCAGTTGAATAACTGTTTCATTGTGTGGATTCCCTATCTGTTCTTTTGCAGTGTCTCTTTGATCTCATAGAGCCTTCACCACATCCACTTTATAGTAGAGTAGCTCACCGCCCAGAGGGGTACAGCAGCCAATCTGTCAGCCTGCTCGTTACCTCGCACACAGAAAATCAATGATACACGCTTGATCTGGGTCTTATAAAAGTGATGCAAGCGCTTTGCGTGCAGGACACCAGTTTCAGTGTTCCTGAAGCATGCTCGATGAGTCTGTTGTGATCACAACATGTTGGGTGGTGCTGTTCTCAAGCCACTCTGTGCACAGTACACCAGTTTCAGTTTTCCAAAGCATGCTCTATGAGTCTGTTACGATCACGACATGTTGGGTGGTGCTGTTCTCATGCCAGCGGAAAGCTGCCATTACTGCCTCCACCTCCATTCTCATGCTAGATGAGGTAACATCCATGAGGCTGTCTGTTTTTCAAGTAGTGTCCATTCACTTCTGCAGTAAAACACCACCCACTCTTCTTACCTCTCTCTACAGACCCATCTGTATATATTATAATGTCACCTTGGCACACTGCTTCTGAATATTATTATGTTTTTGTTTTGTTAATAAATTCCTGACACTGATATTGAGATTGCTTTAAATCACTTTTACTTTTATGTTGTGTGTCTTTGTGCAGCTTGTCACTGCATTGTGTGTAATGTTTTTGGTGCTTTATTAATATCCTACCCCAGATGACGTCACAGGACAGTCCAACACTTTAGACAGTGGTAAGACTGGGTTTCCCGGCTCTCTGATGCTTTTAATTGGCCCAAAACATCTCGAACTGGACCTAACCTCAACCTACCTATGTCCCACGAGAGAGTGCAGCCAAGGTCCCACAACAGCATGCAACCTGGGTTCTACAACTGCATGCAGCCTATCCACCACCCCCCTGAAATATTAGACTGTCCTGTGACCTATGGATTTCCCCTGTTTGGGGTAGGATATAAGGAAAGCACCATGTTTTTGTGTTATGAGCTGGCCACCAGTTGAAAAACCCTGTGCTAGGGGTACATTTGATAGACCATAACTGTGTGAAATAGGTTAGAAATACAATAGGCGAACAGTTGCAACATTGTCAAGACGGGAATATAGTTTATTATTAGAAGCCTTATAAGATTTTAAAAGTTCAGTCCTTGAACTACACTACCTGTTTTCATTCCTCTCTTTATTAGACATGACGCCACAAAGAATACATTGCCGGACGCAGCCCCCTACAATTTTCGCCTGTATTTCAAGCCTTGTTTAACTGTTCAGTACTAATAACATCAATTAGTACTGTACACGTAAACAAGGTTTTAATGCCACCCAACCCTAGACACTTATTGGAGCCTCAACTGGTTTAAGACTTGTTTAATTGCAATAATAATACTAAAAATATTTTGTGCTGACCTGCAAATTAAAAAAAATATTTGAAGCAATAGGGGGGGGGGTCTGTTTTAGACAAATTATTGGGGGGGGGGGGGTGGTTCTGATTCCTGTGCTTTTCAGGTTCTGACTCCTGTACTCTTCATGTTTTGACTCCTGTGCTCTTTATGTTCTGGCTCCTGTGCTCTTTATGTTGTAACTTCTGTGCTCTTCACGTTCTGACTCCTGTGCTCTTTAGGTTCTTGCTCCTTTGTTCTTCGGGTTCTGGCTCCTGTGCTCATCATGTTCTGACTCCTGTGCTTTTCAGGTTCTGACCCCTGTGTTCTGACCCCTGTGCTCTTCAGGTTCTGACCCCTGTGTTCTGACCCCTGTGTTCTTCAGGTTCTGACCCCTGTGCTCTTCAGGTTCTGACCCCTGTGTTCTGACCCCTGTGCTCTTCAGGTTCTGACCCCTGTGCTCTTCAGGTTCTGACTCCTGTGCTCTTCATGTTTTGACTCCTGTGCTCCTTATGTTCTGACCCCTGTGCTTTTCAGGTTCTGACCCCTGTGCTCTTCAGGTTCTGACTCCTGTTGAATTTAGAATCGACATCACAGCACTCAGGGCACTCCCATAAGTGCTCCCTCCCCATCTTCAGCAGCGAGCAAAGAGTTAAAATGCCGATGGTACCAGTAACATTCTGATTGTATATCCGTCTCTCCCCTCCCCCGAGTGTCGAGCGTCAGCCAGATCCCCTGGTAACTCCTCGCAGCGCCATTCTTGTCAGACTGCAAGGATCTATCTGTGCCTCGGCACTGTTCACTCGCTCCCAAAGGGTCCTCCAAATGTCTAGTTTGTACATTAGTTCACCACAAAGTGGTGCAGAACCGGCCAGTCTATCTGCCTGCCCATTTCCCAACACACCTGGAGAAAATATCCAAAGGATGCTAACTACCTGGGACGTCTGCAGTAATGCTTGTCACTTTGCAGGAAGTATGCCTTTCTCAACAGTCTATGTAACTCAGTTACAATCACGATATTTATGTACAGTTGATTCTCAAGCTAGCGGAAGGCAGCAGTGACTGCCTCCACCTCCATTCTCAAACTAGTCGTTGTGAAAGTTGTCTTCCCAGAAAATCAGTAAAAATCTTACAGCTTTGATACAGACAGAGTATCCTCTTGCAGCAGATTGACAAGCAAAGGTTTTTTTTTTCCCCACCGTGATATTCAAAACTGCCAGTTACTGCCTTTATCATACAATATTTAGGGGGGGGGGGGGTCGTTGAACCTGAGGGTTTGCGGCTGCATGACTAGTGCTATCGCCACGAATGTGCAGTTGAGGGTTTTATTGTGCTCCCGACAGAAATAAACCCAGCCTTACTGAGGTTTCAAACCTGGGTCTTTCGCTTGAGAGCCAAGTAACAGTTCGGCTAGTCGCTCCTCTTATGATAGTCACGTGTACAGTACAATATTCTGGTACAATTGTTCACGTCTGCTAAAATTCGCAAAAACGTGATGTTACTAGGGCATATGGAGTTCCTAGTTGAGTTAAGTTGAGTCAACAATCGACATCACAGCACTCGGGGCATTCCCATGTGCGCCCCGTCCCCATCTTCAGCAGCCAGCGCAGAGTTCCAATACTGATGGTACCGGTAACAATCTGGGTATATGTCCCTCTTGCCTTTCCTCTGAGTGTAGTGAGCCGGCCAGACCCTCTGGTTACACCCAGGTGCCTCATTCTCTCCAGGCCATAAAAATCTTTTTTCTCTACTGATTCTGTTGCTTGTTTCCAAAGGGCCTTAGTCACATCTTCCTTGTCATGTATCAATTCACCACCCAGTGGCGCAGATCCAGCCAATCTGTCTGCCTGTCCATTACCCACTATGCCGGTGTAGCCTGCAGAAAAGATCCAAAGTATGCACACTACCCGTGATCTTCCCAGTGATCTTGCCAGTTTGCTCGAAGCATCCCAGTCTTCACCTTTCTCAGCATGCTTTCAGAGTCTGTTTCAATTACGACATGTGTATGCATGTTGTTTCCTAGCCACCGGAGAGCTGCAGTTACCGCCTCCACCTCCATTCTCATGCTAGATGTTGTGATGTCAAATGCTAGGCTGTCTTGCACTAAAGATTTCCCATTGGCTTTTGCTACGAACCCCCTGGCACTTCTCTTCTCTCTCAATACCGAACCATCTGTATCGATAATCAGATTATCTGGGTGTGAATTGTCGTGAATTAACTGTTGGACGTCCAACTCCGTAGCGCCTACTGGCCACTCTCTGCACTCCCGGTCCATTGTGATTTCCAGTTCCTAATGATTCCAGATTGCCTGGTCATTTTGCGCACCAGCATAGGATAAGAGAAAAATGGTTTCGAGAGGTGAGCTGACTTAAAAACAACATCACGGCACTCGAGGCATTAGGTAAGCTCTCTGTCCTCATCTTAAGTAGTCAGCACAAAGTCTCAATTCCGATTGTACCAGTAGTATAGTCTGTCTGTGTCAGTCTTGTCTCTTATCTGAGTGTTGAGTGTCGCCCAGATTAGCTGCTGCAGCATTCTCTTCAGATCGTGATTATCTATCTGTTCCCCCACGTTTGTCACTCGCTCCTAAATCTACCTGGTCATTCATCAATTTACCACTAAATATTGCAGAACTAGTCAGCACGTCTGTCCGTTCGTTTCCCAACACACCTGCATCCACTAGAGGAAATATCCAAAGGACGTCAACTATCGGGTACCTCTGCTTGCCACTCTGCATGGAGCATACCTTCTCCACCTTTGTAAACATGCTTTGTGACTTAGTTACAATTACGAAGTGTGCGTGCAGCTGGTTCTCAGTCCAGGGGACGGATTAAGGGACTGCCTCCACCTCAATTCTCAAACTATATGTTGCTTTATCATGTGCCATCATATAGAGTGCCATGCGGATGTGGGTAAAAAAAAAAAAAAAAAAAAATAATATCAGAAGGCATGGTACCACGAAGGAGGATCATGGGCTTACCAACAAGAAGATTGGCATAGGATATAAGCGGCTCCCCAGTTTAAGAGGCGGGAGAGCTGGCGAGAGACCGAATTTCCTTCAGGCAGATCGTGAGGAGAGCGGCCTTCTGCAACGGGCCTGTACATGATGATCCTTTGTCATACTTTGTTGACTACGCGAAGTTTATTCGCTTTTGCTATATACCTCTGTGCACTTTTGTGCATCTCAACACAAAGCCATCAGTGTAGATAATCAATCCCCTCGGCGGGAATTTAGTTATTGTTCTTCTGATTCTGCAGCATCTGCTGGCCAATCCCTACATTCCCGACCCAGTGGGATTAGAACACTATACAAGTCTGACTGCTGCTGGGCCACCCAGATGTAAAACGCG